GCTTTCAATTTCGTACAACCATAGCCTTCTTCATTGTTCTTTCTAAGTTTATAATTTTGCGAGCCGTCTAAATAAAATTCGGCAACAAAATCATTTCTGTACTTTCAATTAATGCGCGCTCATTAGGCTTTCAATTTCGTAGGACCATAGCCTTCTTCATTGTAGTTTCTAGGTTTACGATATTGCGAACCGTCTAAATAAAATCCGGCAATAAAGTAATTTCTGTACCTTCGATTAGTGCATGGTCGTTAGGCTTTCAATTTCGTACGACCATAGCCTTCTTCATTGTAGTTTCTAAGTTTATGATTTTGCGAGCCGAATTCTTTCCTGCAATAAAGTCATTTCTGTACCTGCGATTAATGCATGATCGTTAGGCTTTCAATTTCGTAGGACCATAGCCTTCTTCATCGTTGTTTCTAAGTTTATAATTTTGCGAGCCGTCTAAATAAAATCCGGCAACAAAGTAATTTCTGTACTTTTAATTAATTGCACTCTCATTAGGCTTTCAATTTCGTAGGACCATAGCCTTCTTCATCGTAGTTTCTAAGTTTATAATTTTGCGAGCCGTCTAAATAAAATCCGGCAACAAAGTCATTTCTGTGCTTTCAATTAATGCACGCTCATTAGGCTTTCAATTTCGTACAACCATAGCCTTCTTCATTGTTCTTTCTAAGTTTATAATTTTGCGAGCCGTCTAAATAAAATTCGGCAACAAAATCATTTCTGTACTTTCAATTAATGCATGCTCATTAGGCTTTCAATTTCGTAGGACCATAGCCTTCTTCATCGTTGTTTCTAAGTTTATAATTTTGCGAGCCGTCTAAATAAAATCCGGCAACAAAGTAATTTCTGTACTTTTAATTAATTGCACTCTCATTAGGCTTTCAATTTCGTAGGACCATAGCCTTCTTCATCGTTGTTTCTAAGTTTATAATTTTGCGAGCCGTCTAAATAAAATCCGGCAACAAAGTCATTTCTGTACTTTTAATTTATTGCACGCTCATTAGGCTTTCAATTTCGTAGGACCATAGCCTTCTTCATCGTTGTTTCTAAGTTTATAATTTTGCGAGCCGTCTAAATAAAATCCGGCAACAAAGTAATTTCTGTACTTTTAATTAATTGCACGCTCATTAGGCTTTCAATTTCGTAGGACCATAGCCTTCTTCATCGTTGTTTCTAAGTTTATAATTTTGCGAGCCGTCTAAATAAAATCCGGCAACAAAGTCATTTCTGTGCTTTCAATTAATGCACGCTCATTAGGCTTTCAATTTCGTACAACCATAGCCTTCTTCATTGTTCTTTCTAAGTTTATAATTTTGCGAGCCGTCTAAATAAAATTCGGCAACAAAATCATTTCTGTACTTTCAATTAATGCGCGCTCATTAGGCTTTCAATTTCGTAGGACCATAGCCTTCTTCATTGTAGTTTCTAGGTTTACGATATTGCGAACCGTCTAAATAAAATCCGGCAATAAAGTAATTTCTGTACCTTCGATTAGTGCATGGTCGTTAGGCTTTCAATTTCGTACGACCATAGCCTTCTTCATTGTAGTTTCTAAGTTTATGATTTTGCGAGCCGAATTCTTTCCTGCAATAAAGTCATTTCTGTACCTGCGATTAATGCATGATCATTAGGCTTTCAATTTCGTAGGACCATAGCCTTCTTCATCGTTGTTTCTAAGTTTATAATTTTGCGAGCCGTCTAAATAAAATCCGGCAACAAAGTCATTTCTGTGCTTTCAATTAATGCACGCTCATTAGGCTTTCAATTTCGTACAACCATAGCCTTCTTCATTGTTCTTTCTAAGTTTATAATTTTGCGAGCCGTCTAAATAAAATTCGGCAACAAAATCATTTCTGTACTTTCAATTAATGCGCGCTCATTAGGCTTTCAATTTCGTAGGACCATAGCCTTCTTCATTGTAGTTTCTAGGTTTACGATATTGCGAACCGTCTAAATAAAATCCGGCAATAAAGTAATTTCTGTACCTTCGATTAGTGCATGGTCGTTAGGCTTTCAATTTCGTACGACCATAGCCTTCTTCATTGTAGTTTCTAAGTTTATGATTTTGCGAGCCGAATTCTTTCCTGCAATAAAGTCATTTCTGTACCTGCGATTAATGCATGATCGTTAGGCTTTCAATTTCGTAGGACCATAGCCTTCTTCATCGTTGTTTCTAAGTTTATAATTTTGCGAGCCGTCTAAATAAAATCCGGCAACAAAGTAATTTCTGTACTTTTAATTAATTGCACTCTCATTAGGCTTTCAATTTCGTAGGACCATAGCCTTCTTCATCGTTGTTTCTAAGTTTATAATTTTGCGAGCCGTCTAAATAAAATCCGGCAACAAAGTCATTTCTGTGCTTTCAATTAATGCACGCTCATTAGGCTTTCAATTTCGTACAACCATAGCCTTCTTCATTGTTCTTTCTAAGTTTATAATTTTGCGAGCCGTCTAAATAAAATTCGGCAACAAAATCATTTCTGTACTTTCAATTAATGCGCGCTCATTAGGCTTTCAATTTCGTACAACCATAGCCTTCTTCATTGTTCTTTCTAAGTTTATAATTTTGCGAGCCGTCTAAATAAAATTCGGCAACAAAATCATTTCTGTACTTTCAATTAATGCGCGCTCATTAGGCTTTCAATTTCGTAGGACCATAGCCTTCTTCATTGTAGTTTCTAGGTTTACGATATTGCGAACCGTCTAAATAAAATCCGGCAATAAAGTAATTTCTGTACCTTCGATTAGTGCATGGTCGTTAGGCTTTCAATTTCGTACGACCATAGCCTTCTTCATTGTAGTTTCTAAGTTTATGATTTTGCGAGCCGAATTCTTTCCTGCAATAAAGTCATTTCTGTACCTGCGATTAATGCATGATCGTTAGGCTTTCAATTTCGTAGGACCATAGCCTTCTTCATCGTTGTTTCTAAGTTTATAATTTTGCGAGCCGTCTAAATAAAATCCGGCAACAAAGTCATTTCTGTGCTTTCAATTAATGCACGCTCATTAGGCTTTCAATTTCGTACAACCATAGCCTTCTTCATTGTTCTTTCTAAGTTTATAATTTTGCGAGCCGTCTAAATAAAATTCGGCAACAAAATCATTTCTGTACTTTCAATTAATGCGCGCTCATTAGGCTTTCAATTTCGTAGGACCATAGCCTTCTTCATTGTAGTTTCTAGGTTTACGATATTGCGAACCGTCTAAATAAAATCCGGCAATAAAGTAATTTCTGTACCTTCGATTAGTGCATGGTCGTTAGGCTTTCAATTTCGTACGACCATAGCCTTCTTCATTGTAGTTTCTAAGTTTATGATTTTGCGAGCCGAATTCTTTCCTGCAATAAAGTCATTTCTGTACCTGCGATTAATGCATGATCGTTAGGCTTTCAATTTCGTAGGGCCATAGCCTTCTTCATCGTTGTTTCAAAGTTTATAATTTTGCGAGCCGTCTAAATAAAATCCGGCAACAAAGTCATTTCTGTACTTTTAATTAATTGCACTCTCATTAGGCTTTCAATTTCGTAGGGCCATAGCCTTCTCCATCGTAGTTTCTAAGTTTATAATTTTACGAGCCGTCTAAATAAAATTCGGCAATAAAGTCATTTCTGCATTTTCGAATAATGCACGCCTAATCAGCAGCATTTTCTATAATAGGGTCGCCATTATGCACCGGTTCGGTCGTCCGTTCGGGGTTTCTTGCTACCTGCTGCACTACGTGTTTCATCCCCTTTCGCATCCCCTTCCATCGCGTTACTTCTGTCCATGAAATGGTATAAAAACTCGAAACCGATTCATTTTCATCATTTGTGTTTAGTCAGTCAGGCCTATCAGTCTTGTCTAGTCTTGTGTCTTGCTAGTTCCGTGTCTCGTTAGTATTCTGTGTTCTCGTTGGTACTGTGTTCTCGTTGGTACTGTGTTCTCGTTGGTACTGTGTTCTCGTTGGTACTGTGTTCTCCTTGATGCTGTGTTTCGCTATTTCTGCATCTTGTACGTCTAGTACAAGCTCTTNGGTACTGTGTTCTCGTTGGTACTGTGTTCTCCTTGATGCTGTGTTTCGCTATTTCTGCATCTTGTACGTCTAGTACAAGCTCTTGTGTTGTTTCTTTTCTTCTGTTGTGTCTCATCCTTATATCAATGGTAAGTTAAACTCAGTCATTCTCGCTCAATCTCTAGTCCGCGACTTTGTTTCAACAGTTACGCGTTGTCCGTTTCAACCAAGTTCTGAATCGCACTCATTCTGCTTTAATTAACTTCGGTAGACTCCAGCTCACGCTAGTCTACCGCTACATTCAACTCTTCAACTTCGGTAGACCCTAGCTCACTGCAACAGTAATGTCTCCTTTACTGACGCTCAGATTGTGCACAGAAATGGACACCTTGGGAAGAGGAGACACGATTATTCGAGCCTTGCAGTTTCTATGTTCCTATGATCGTTGACAATTTGTTACTACAAAAACGAACCGTGAAGCTCGAATAATCGCATCTCCTCCTCCGAAATTGTTAATTTTCGTGCGCGATCTCAGCGTCAATAAGGGAGACATTACTGTACTCGGATAGTCTTTCAACCTTAGACAATCGAATCGAGTGTTTTATAGTGCTTCGGTTCATTCTTAAAAATTAAGCAGCTGTTCATCTTTCATTAGACGTACAGCTGTACCAATCAATTCCGTCGCTTAGCGTAATCGGTCCGAGAGATTTTGTAATCGCGGAATTTTAGTATCGGGTATACTCGCTGTGCACCCTACAAAATTTACTATTTAAAATAGTGTCTCACACTGCTTCACGAATTTGTTTTCCTTGCAGGAGATCTATATAGAAATGAGATCGGTTTTTATAGTCGGTGGGATCCTACTCGGCTCAGAATTTATTTGGCAATTGATAAGACTATGCCACTATTATCTAATACAACGGGCGATTTCGGAAGAAAAAAATGAGGAAGAGGTGAACCAAAAAAAAAAAAAACAAGACGAAGAAGAAGGAGAAAATGAGGAAGAGATGAACCAAGAAGAAGAGGAAAATGAGGAAGAGGTGAACCAAGAAGAAGAAGGAAATGAGGAAGAGGTGAACCAAGAAGAAGAAGCTGAAGACGAGGAAGAAGAAGAAAATGAGGAAGAGGTGAACCAAGAAGAAGAAGACGAAGGAGAAGGAGAAGAAGAACAAGAACAAGAAGAAGACTGTACTCAGATAATGTTCTTTTCACATCGATGCAGTCAATGCCGAATTCATAGCCGTAGCTACCTCTGTCCAGAGAAAGCATGCCCGGTTGAATATTTACGGTAAATATAACTTTATAGCTAACTTTACGACCCGTATTTAGTCGAAGCAGAGATAAATATCATTATTCAAGTACATCCGAACTTTCCCTTCGGGATAATAAGGATAAGGGATAATTTAAGGGGGGCGATAAGGGATTGGTGGAATATAAGGGATAATTATCACTTGTATTCAATAGGGATCGAGCGAAACGAGAAATCCAACCACCTCCTTTTCCGAATCAATTGTTTCCAAAAGAACATTTTCTATTATTAACAATTCATTTCTTTAGTATTTCAAAAGAATCAACTCGTTCATTCGACGCGATCGATGGCTCACGTGCGAAATTATTGTATATATTATTATTGTATAATATTATATATTATTATAGCTTCTTTCACCGAGCGAAATAAAAAATCGCGAACGATCCAGCGCGCTGACGGAGGATGGAAAAATTCTCGTTCGTTCGTCGTAGATTTCGTCCGAGTAAATTAATTTGATTTTCAAAGGATAGTCGAGCATCGCGGTTCGCCGGACCAGCCGTTGATTACGCGGCGAATAGCGCATTCGGGAATAGGAGGGGGGTGGGGCTCGTTTCAATGGTTATAAATAGTCGTTTTTCTACGAAAAACCGACGAACATTTACATTTGTGTGCAACCTTTTAGGCAATTGGAAAATCATATAAACGCAGCCAAAGACAGCTTATATATGTGCATGTACCTAATGACTGCCGACACGTTGTCGAAAGCCTTCGTAAAAGCACTGAGACGCGGTGTCCATGTGCGGGTGATAATGGATAAGAGCATGGCGTACAACTCGCGCGGACAAGCGATCCCCTTTCACAGGAATGGTACGTACGATGACGTTCGTTTTTTTTTATCGCACGGAAAATAACTGAAAATAACACTGTTCTCGACCCGGAAATGTCACAGGTATTGAAGTAAGAATACAGCAAACCGATGCCCTAATGCACCATAAGTTCGTGATCGTCGACGAGCGCATTTTGATTACTGGCAGTACCAACTGGACGATGTCTGCATTTTTCGGAAATTACGACAATATCATGATCACAAATCAGGTGGCCTTTGTAAAGCCATTTGTGCAAGAGTTTCAGAATCTGTGGACCGAGCTCCAATACTGTGGCATCAATATAGGCGAAGTCATATCGTAAGCTGTAACTCGGTGAGTGAAATGTTTTCCTTAAATTTTAAACGTTTCGGTAAAAAGTGTTTGTATCGTTTGCTCGCAATTTCTATCGCGTTGCAAGCACGATCAGATTTCACGATTTGGACTGAAATCTTTCGACTGAAAGAGTTTTATTAACACCTGTTAGCATGTATTATCTCGTCTGAAATTATGAAGATTCTTTCGCAGAATGCGATTGAATAAGTTTTTTCAAAGCCAAGCGTTCGCTATCATAAAATAGCATTAAATATCATAGAAAAGCTTAAATAAATTCGATCTTTCCTGTTATATGAAGCAACGCTTCTGTTTCTCCGCGTGATTATGCATCGAACACGTTCACGCGGTTCCCTGCGATTCTTTCGAGTGATAGGGGTAATAATTGGAACGAGTGACACTATTGCACTTTGTATAGGGGGTGACCAAAAAATGTTAGCTGAGCTCGCCCCTTATTGATCGGTGCTTTTCGTTAATAACTCGTAAACAAAGCCGCGGGTTGCGTTTTCGTTAAGGAAAAAGTTACTTCAAATGACCCCAGGTTACCCCCTTTTTCGGATTGCGAGACATTTTTTTGGACACCCTGCACAGTAAATTCTCTTCGATTATCGCTCAGCTTGTAAGCAAAAATGGATAATTTGGGAAGTGATGCGATTATTATTTGTGCCTCACGGCTTGTTTTTATCGTTGTGTTGTTGACAATATTTAATTATATATAATATATAATATTGTGATATAATATTATATATATATATATATATATATATATAATATAATATATAATATTGTGATATAATATTGTAATATAATATAATATATAGTATTGTAATATGATATAATATATAATATTGTAATATAATATAATATATAATATCATATTATGTTATATTATATATAATTAATACATATAATTTAACTTGATAAAACAGATAAATGAATAAAACTGTGCGTAACTGAGTGTTCCGAGTGTAAAGGCTAGATAGAGATGGTGAGTTGTGTATTTTTCTACTGCCCGAATGTACTGCCGTTTGCTCGATAGTAACTTCGATGTGGGCTTGAACTGAAAATAAAACAAGCGGATTCGTGGATTGTACATTTTTCGGTGAAAGTAACGGGAACAGTCGTCTTAATTGATTGGGTTAAATAATAGCATAGAAAGGTATAGCACTCGCACCCTCGGGACCGTAGCAGGTAATAAACATGCAAACGAAAGGAATTTATGAGGATTAGACGATGGCTCGACTTCTTATAACCATTTGTGGGTCGTAATAAAATAAAATATTAAATTCTAAAGGAAGTATCCGATTTTCGAAGGAACTGCATGCTAGGGACAGTTGCTATTGTTTGTAGAATAGATATGGTGTTGTAAGGTAATTCAATTAATTTATAGTAGGGAATTTCCTGATTCGTTTCGACTTTCAATACCGAACAACTGCTTTCACTAAGATTTCATAAATTATTATTCGCTGGAAGAATATTTCGTGATATTTTGTCGAAATTTGATTGCTCGCCGAGCGTTTCATTTTCTAATTTTTTGGCTAACACAGCTTTGAGTCTCGCAAAGGTTCGTTGGTTGCGTAAATTCGCTGTCGCCTATTAATTAATATCGTGTAAATAAGTGTTGCATTTTACTGCGTGGATAGTGTTGTAATTTAACCGTGCAAGTAACGTTATAGTTTACCGCGTAAAAAAAGTGCCCAGCAAATTAACCAGTTTGCTGTGGCGCGCGCCTCCTTTTTAGAGCTCGCGTTTACATATATCGCGAGAATCAAGCGACGATCAAACTTTAGTGACGCACGTACATCGCATAGCTGCTTCTTTTTTCCATTTTTTCTCTTTTCGTTTCGTTTGTCAATCTTGACGAGCGCTATCGCGCCGCTTGGTTCTCTTCGCAATGAATTAAGACAAACGCTTATCACGCTGTTCGGCACTTTTCGACCGTGTTTTCTGAATAACCCCATGGACAGGAGTTCCCGCACGAATTGAATGTCTCCGACGATCGATTCGGTGCTGCGCGAGCTGCCGAACGTGGAGCACGCCGATAGGATTCTCGTGGAATCGTCGGCAGCTGTTAACGATATAAACAGCGATCGGGTGGAAACCGCTCGAGCCGAGCCGAGCCGGGCCGGGCCAGGCGTATTGCAATATGCATTGGGGGGAACCGCGCGTCCGACGATATTAAAATATCGTCGCGCCGATGCATCCGATGCAACGCAACGGTGCATGGTTAGCCGGTGTTCTCATCGGCCGATAGAAGTGGAACATTGTACGTGTATATAAATAGGATAGCCCGTATGAAAATAGACGTCGGGCCGTTGGACCGAGGGATCGATGATGATCCCCCAAGTCGCTGGACAAAGTTTTCCCCTCGCCCCTTTCCGCGGCAAATTCACGGTCTCTCCGGCAAGCCCTTTAGCCGTTCAGCAAAACTCCATCGTCGCGGAAATTCCTTTTTCCTCGCGGCGGGATCCTTTTTTGCGTCTCTTGTAAACTCTGCGCGCTCGATCGAAGTCGTCGGGAACACGAGCGCGCCGTAATAAAAATAGAAAACAGAAACAATGAGAATGTTCCGAGAACGCGATGATCCGCGTATAATCGTTCTAAAGAGAATTTTCAAACGGCGTCACCGGGTTCTTTGTACCGGCGCGGCGGCGTCTTAAAGCGGACGGTCTCGTGTCTCCGCGATAATGCCAGCGCGTTTTGCTTGGAAAATGAGGAAAATCGTTACGCGTCGCGTAACGGGAAACGTAAACATAGCGGCAACAGATTTGCTGGACGGCCGTCAAAAATCGTGCGCGTACGAATTATAAAAAGCGGATGACGGGGAGGCCGGCGAATTTTCCCGGCATCTGGAGACAATCGGTGAACCGGTTCCCCGAATCGATATCGAATTTTCTTATTTTACACGGTACAGCGAAACACGACGAACATAGAGCCGGCTTTCTATTAATATTTCGCCGCGGCACGACGACCGTTATCACAGTTCGAACGCGCCATTCAAGAATGTATTTTCTGCTCCGCGCGCGCTCTACGGACAATTATTATTAGACCGTGGCGCTCGCGAATTGACGGCGAGGCGTTCCGTATTTTCGTAGACAAGTTGAAGGGACTGAAAATTGCAGGGGGAATTTCATTTCTTCCCTCCTGCCCCCTCGGCCCGACGACGACGACCCAAGTCGACACGGCGGACGAAAAATAGAATGTTAATCGTGTTACGTGCCGATGAACTTTATGGCAGATTTTTACGGGCTGTAAACGCCGCGAAGTGGCGGAACGATTATTATTAAAGGAACATTATACGCCGGGATCAATTTTTTACGGTGGGATTTCGGGGAACCAGACCAATATTTATATTCGCCGACGGTTGACGTCAGCGAATCCGAAATAAAGTAAGACCCGGATTATTTAATTAACGCCAACCGTGCCATCGGGAGGGGGGAAGGGGTCGAACAGCGATGCCGATTCGACGATTCTTATTATACGATTATTGAAATTCTAAGGACGCGTCTCTTCACCGGAAATCGTTGGATAAATTTATAAAAATTAGAGAAAGATCCGAATGAATTCGATGCTGTTGTTTGCACGAGGCAACAGGGACCAGTTACTTTTAACGCTGCTGTTAAAAATTCGCGATTCGGGAAAATCGATCGAGCGATTTTGCAAGAAACACACCATTGCATTAGGTCGAGTCATAAATAACTTTCGACGCGGCCGGGAACAATCTATTGTTCGTATCTACCCTCTGTGACTCACCGGAACGAACGAGTAAAAACTTTTAAAAGCTTTCACTAAGTAGATAAAGGGTTCAAAATAAATAAAACGAAAAAGTAAATAAACAAAAAAAACATAAATAAACAAAATAAATGTCTGAATAACACTAGATTTGTGGAACCCGTCAGAATGACGGGTCACTAGTTTCTCAATTTGCGATTATTCATGTCATGAAAATGCATTTATGAGCTATTATTCATTTATTTATTTATTTATTCAATCTATATGTTAATTACGGCAAATGTTACGATAACACTTGTTAAAAATCCAGGCTAAATATCTTATCGTTACTTTTCCAAGCTAATATAAAACAGCTGTTTTTCGTGCCCCGTGAATCTAGCGTTAAAAAACCGGAAGTTATTTATGACTCGACCCAATACCGTCCATCGATTCTGCACGAAATGATCGATCGTTGTTCGATGTCCGAAGAGCCGATGTCGTAATTGCCGAAAAAGAAGACGAAAGAAATCGGAACGAGAGAAACGCGCACCTTTCGCAGCCGCGGCCACTGGCAACGGTTTCCGCGCAGCGTGTCGAAGCGTGCGCCAAGAATAGCCGGCCGAAGCGTGGAAATAGTACCACGCGATCCCGAAATACGCATTGTATCCAGATACGATAAAAGCCGAGGCTGTTCGTTACAGCTGTTTGACGTTCGGCCACCGTTGACTCGGTGCAACCTATTCGTCGATGAGTAGCCCCGTCCGATCGCTATTTGGGAAAAAGGATTCCCTTTTGGCCGATTCCGCGAACCGTTTCTTTTTCGCGCGATAAATCCCCGCCGTCCGGAAATTTCCTTCGACCGCCCGTGTTCCCTAAATGCGATCGCCGCCGTTTCGCCGAAGGAAACACAATCGTCGGCAACGCTTTCTCAACGCGATCCGCTCGCGGAACGCGCGTGGACTAGCACTGAATAATTTCGGGCGGTTCATCATTGTCTTGTACACGAATCTCGAATAGCTTCTTTCTGGTTATCCGTTCGCTTCCTTACGACGAAGTGAAGTCATTCTATTGCGTGTCGTGGTTAGTTTACTTCGTTGCTAGCGGGAAATCAGACGAGCTGTTCGTCGAGTTCCAAGGAAGGTTCGTCAACGCGGTCGATTAGCATTTAGGCTGGTTCGGAGTAGTTCAGTAATTTATTCGAGTCGCGAGTACGTAGTTAGTTTTTATTTTAGAACGCGCAAAAATTGATACTTATGTGTGTCGCGAGAATCAAGCGATGACGAGTATACTCGTCAAACACAGAGTAAGCGACGCTGTTAAAATATTGGATCAAAAAGAGGGTATTATTTTATGAAATTGACAATTCTATTACTAATATTTACTGATTCAGTGTACATTAACACTATTCAGTGAATATTGAATAAAATTAGAGAAGAATCACTGTACAGCAGCAATTTGAATTTTTTAACTTTTATATTTATATTTTACATTTTTATACTATTATTTTATATTTTTATATTTATATACTACATACATAATAAACGAAAAACGCAGGAGAAATATAAAATATAAATATAAAAGTTAAAAGATTCAAATTGCTGCTGTAGAGTGATTCTTCTCTAATTTTATTTCTACAACAGTGTAAACACCTTCGTGTGGGATTGGCCTCGAAGTATTCTAAAAATCTTGAAATTTGAGAATATGTTATTTTCACTAAAATTTCGATTTAAATAGCCAATGGTCGCTGCTTTTTACGCGCGACGAGTATACTCGTCGAACACAGCTAACTGGTTGAAAGGTGTTCAGAGAACAGCCGAGCTTTGGAATTTGAGCTAACTGGAACTCGACTAAACGAATTCGCCCGGATTTGTTACATTAATTAGCAGCGATTAGCGGTGGGAGTCTAGTCGACCAAAAAAACTCCAACAAAATTGTTTCACTAAATGCGGCTGGGAAGAATCTATTGTTCGAATGTACCCATTGTTTGTCACCGGGACAAACTATTTTTGCTTTCACCAAATAGGTAAACGGTTCAAAATTAATTACATAAATAACTCGGCTAAAATGTTAGTCCATATAGAATAATTTGTTAAACTATTCGTCGCTCGATTAAATTGCTGGACGTGTCTGAACCAGCCCGAAAGGTTGACGAGGGAAGTAGCAGCGAACGATTCGAATCGATATCTCTTGTCGGGGACAGACAGAGAGAGGAGAGAGAGAGGGAACAGGGGAAAGAGAGAGAAAGAGGTCCAGGGTTCTCTGACGGCGAATAAGCGGCTCGTTTCTGCGTCTCCTCCGGCTCCGTTCCTTCTGGTAGCTAAAGCAATCTCACTCCGGGCCAAATATAACGTTTCGAGGGTGGCTCGCGAGCCTAGACGTCAGCGGTGCCGGCGGGCGGCGGTTCTCTCCCTCGTAGGTTAAGGGCAGGTCGGGCACGATCGCGATATCGAGCGCGAAAGAAGAAGGTCAGGGGTCGAGTGTCCGTGGACGACGAGCTCGGCTGCGCTTTTCCACGTTCGAGATCCGCGGATAAAACGTCGCGCAGCGCCGGTTGAAAAGAAACGGGAGCGTTCCCGGTTGGTCGAACAGTTATTTCGCTCGAGTATCGTTCGCAAGTAGGTCGACCGACGACGGTTTTCCAATTTCTCCACGGTGATTCCCGGTAGCCTCGATACATCACCGCCGCGGGACGACGACGACGACGATGCTTCTCACGCGAAGCGCGTGGATCGGCGCAGCGGGAAAGGAATAAGTAAAATACACAGAGGACGTGGTGGAAACGGGCGAAAACCACTGGCGGATTCCATGTAGTAGCAACGTTTATTTCGATAATGTTTATATAGAAAACATTGTTGCGCGCGTTCAGGAGGCCCGACGTGGTCCCGTCGTCTTTGCTTCGCGGCGTTTTCGCGCGCGTTTCTGGTCTCCCTGGTCTCTTCCTCGCCTCGAGGAAGAAGGTGAACCTCAATTCAGGTGCGCCTCGGTCCGCGAATTGTCGCAAATCTTGCGAACTGTCGCGAATCTTGCGAACCTTGTGATTCGCAAACGGATCCGACGATCTGCTTATTAACCGAGGATATCGATACACCCCCCTCCGAAAGTAGCGGGGCACTTGCAGAGTGTTAGATAAATATGAAAATCCGATACGGAGTTGTTATACTTTTTTTTCAATTTATTTCGAAGTTCATTGTATCAAACTGTGACAAGTTTATAAATATATTTCACGTTGCGATAAAAATGTTCTTTTCGTCGATATACCCGCCGCGTTTTTTAATTATCTCTCGGACTAATTTCGGCATCCGTTTTATTAGTTTTTTTCTTATTATTCTATTATTGTTCTATTATTGTTGATACTCTATTACTTAGAATTTTATTAGAATAGAATAGAATAGAATTATTTTTATCCGCGTATTAGGAAAACGTATTAGAAATCGATGCGAAGGGTATAAGAAATGCATTCGATTTCAATGAACAAAATGCAATAAATGGGTAAACTAATCGCACTAGTGACAAACAATTTAAAACGTAGTGTCGACAATACGATGCCATATCGCAGACTTGCGAACATTGCTAAAACTGAACGGCGCATCGCAATTTATACTAGACGAACAGGTGTCTCGATACTTTCGGAGGGGGTTGTCCGTCACTTTTCTGTCCCTTGGTCCCGGCTGTCTCTCTTTCATCCGATCAGCCCGATGCACGCGTGCACACGGATCGGATACCGTTCGCGTATCTCGACGTGGGAAAATGCGTGGGATGATTTTCAAGAGCGTGCGAAAATAAAGGTTTAGAGACATGGTAGCGTTTCGTTTCTCTATTTCAATGTACCAATTTTAACAAATTTATTCGCTTGTCCATTCTTAAGACGACAGTGTTAGCGGAGGTTACATATTATTCGCGTTTCTCGAGAAAGAAAGTTCCGCATGATCGTCTCGTATCGACGCGTTCGTTCGATCCTCTGTTCTAACAAAAAGATTCTCTCTCACTCAATCCTCAATCCTTGCGCAGGCGACCGAACGGGGACGACTTTCGTCTACGGAATCGAATACGAAACGAAGGAATAAATGCGACGGTACAGTTCGGTTTATCTCGATCGCCGGCTCCGTTTCATTCTCATCCTTCTCTGTTCCGGAATATCGAGCGCCGCCGCTCTTCCGTCGAATCCCGTCGGAACGCGTGCTGCCGGGGCAGGTCACGTTCCCGTTTCCCGACGATAAAAATTAGTCGAACGTTTTCCGTTCGTTTCGCAACGAGGCTGTCGAGGCTCGAGTGATTGTCCGGTCATAACAGGTTCGAGGTAAACGATAACGATCCGCGGCGCTGTTCAACTAATACTGTTGGGAACGGTGCGGGGGTTAATTGAGTTCGCGAGTTTTCGGGACGATCGAGTAAGAAGAGAAAGCGGGAGAAAATTCCCGGTTAACAGATTGCAAAACTCGTCGAAAAGACGCTTAGGGAGAGAGAAATAATGGCGCGCGCTCGCGAGCGCAACCGCGGCGACGGGCCGCGCCGTTTCGTAATATAAATTAGCTCTACCGGTCGTCCTACTAATAAATCGCTAGAAGAATATATGCGCGCTAGGCGTATGCGTACTCTATGATCGTTCGATAACATTAAATACCGCTCGTTAATCTCTTCCGACGCGTTCGCTATATTCGAATCACCGCCGAGACTCGAGAGATCTCGCGAGCCTCTCGAATCGCCGTCCCGATTCAACCTTTAACTCTCGCCGTACCGCGTCAGGGTTTTCTCGTAATGATAACGGCAATAATAATAATAATAGTGTAATAATTAACAACGATGATAACAACAACAAAATTTTAGTTCGAGATGTTTGTATACATAGAAGGTAAAACGGGTCCTTTCGGACCCGGGCGCGGGTCTGCGCGTGAACGCCAGACCGCCGGTACTGCGAGGGTTAAAACTGTCTCCGTGCCATGATCGTGTCCTCGGTCCACGATCCTCGATTCGCGCGCAAGGCCCCGGGCGAGGTATGTCACGTGTAACATACACAGCTAGCTATACAATACATCGTTCTGCACTAATCACGATTAACCGTAAACGTAATAAATTACTAGGAAATCCGCAGTCATTATTGTCTCTATATTTCGACACACCGATTACACCGATCGCAGTTTACATTTTCGTGTTCGCCGCCAGTCTTAACGATTACTTTTTTTTATTTTAGTCCATCGTGTCCTGTGTGTGTGTATGTGTGTGTCTCTCTCACTCTCTCTGACTGTGTATATGTGTACATGTGGGTGTACATGCGCGCGCGTGTGTTTCTTTTTTTTTATATTTTATCACATTCGTTTCGCGGAAAGAAGAACGAAAGGGTGTAGAGTCGCGAGAAGGTCGTAGGAAGCGTACGAAAATCGGTGGTGCGCGATCATCGATCATTGGTCCGCTCGTAGAGTCATCATATCGGGTGTAGAAAAGGCGAAAAAGGAAAGGGCGGATTTTGGGACGGGATCGTCGGGATCGATCTCCCCGTGGATTCGCACCTTGCCGTTGATAATCGTAACAAAAGTACAAGGAATGTCCTGATCTACGGCGCGGCCGAAACGTGGCTCTCTAAATCGAACGACCGAATCCGTGGATGGCAGTGCACCGAATCGGGTGCAAAGTGCAACGAAGTAGACGCCGCGAACAATGATGTCGGCCCGTGGTTCTCTTCTCGTTCAGAAGACAGCCGACATCGAACGCGTCGAAGGAACGATTCGGGCGATTCGAGACGATTCGGCCTTGGATCGATCCCGTCGCTGCGGGAACAGCGAAGGGGCGTAGGAGAACGGAATCGGGTGTGTAAGAAGAACGAATGTGGGGTCGGGGGTCGTCGTCGATCGTTTTTTCGCGTGCTCGACGACGATGCCAGGAGTACGAAGGCGCTGGGTCAAAGGAGGTCGAGTCGCCTCCCGGGGAATGAATGTTCGATCGCGGGATTGTGCGCGTTCACGTGGTGCGGAAGGTCGGCTCGTCGGCCGGGAGCAGGGACGAGCTGGGCAGGTCGTGGTCGTCGACGGCGACCCCGAAGCCGTCCAGGCTGTACTTCCGTTCGCGCGACACGCTTCTGAGACAGGGTTCGCTTGCGGCTCTGGCCATCTCTCACATGCCCTCCGAGCCGAGGCTGCCGATCAAGGGCGGCTCCCCGACGTTCGAGTCGCACTGCATCACCCACTCCCAGATCCTCTTGGTGACGACCTTCTGGTCGATGGTGGTCTCGAGGCCGTAGCTGTTCAGCAGCTTCCTCAGCTTGTTCTTGTTCTCGTCGACGTTCTTCTGGTCGTCGAGGATCGTGTCGAGGTAGAGCAGGCTGTCGGCCTTGCGGGCGATCGTCTCGCTGGCGTCGACCGAGGTCGAGGTCGCGCTGTGGCTGATCTTGTTCACGCACCACGAGTCCTTCAGGTACTTGTTGATCTCGGTGACGTGCGGCCTCTTCTCCGGCTTGTGCTCGAACGCCCGCCTGAAGTACCTGAGCAGCCTCGGCGTGAACCTGCGAAACGTGGGCGGGATCTTCGTGGTGCGCCGCTTGAGCCACCTCTGGAACGCCGAGTACTCCTGGTCCTGGATCAGATCGGCGCTCTGCCAGGGCGGGTTGCCGGTCAGGCAGACGAACAACACGATCCCGAACTGCCAGCAGTCGGCGCTCCTCTTGCAGGCGTACCTCTCGTTCTTCACCATCTCGTAGATCTCCGGCGGCTGGAACGACAGCCAGGTGCACCGGATCTTGTTCACCAGGGTCCCTTCGCGCCTGGTGCACCCGAAGTCGCACAGCTTGATCTTCGACATGTCCGACGCGAACACCAGAACATTTTCTAGCTTGATGTCCCTGTGGGCCAGCTGCTTCGAATGGATGAATTCCAACGCGGACGCGAGCTGCCCGGCGATCCTCTTGCAAGCCTCCTCGCTGAGGCCGCCGGCTCGCACGTTGCCCGCGAGATCACCGTGCGGAGCGTATTCCTGCGCGAACACGAAGCACTTCTCGGCTTTGAACGCGACCGCGTACGAACACAGAATGTTTGGGTGCGGGCTCAGGTGGTACGAATAGTGGAACTCCCGGTAGAAGTCCTTTTCCGTGGTGAGCTCCTGGTGGACGGCTTTTAAGACGATCCGGGTGCGCGTCGGCCGATGGGTCGCGAGCAACACCTTCGCGAAGCTACCCTCGCCGAGGGTCTTCTCCACGTCGTACTCCTTCGACAGGTCCACGTCCTCCAGGGGCACCTCCTGCACTCGGTGGATCGCGGACTCTTTCTTCTCGTGCAGTTTCATCTGTAATCAGAGGCCAGAACACCGCTCGTTACTTATCTCGCGCCGTTTCTTTGCCTCGCGAGTTCGGCCCACCCTTTCGAGCACGTTCGCAGAAACGGACGTCATCGCGGCGCGGGTTACTCCGCGATTACTCGCTTGTGGATTTCGTAAAGCTTTATTTAATCCGCGAGAACGTTCGCGGATCATCCGCCGATCGGGGGATGCTCGATTTCGCACGATCAATTATCCGATCTCGCGAGATTATTCACGTCCCGGTTCTTCGGTTCGGCTCCGATCGAATTCGAAATCAATTGCAGTAAATTCTCGCTAATTGACATTTAAATTGTGCACAAAAATGGAACCGCAAAGTTCAAGGGACCAAATTGTCTATTTCTGTGTACAGTCTGAGAATTTATTTGTAACCGGTTCGAAGGAGCTTCGGTTGATTCGCATAATTTAGTCGTTGCATAATTTCTATGCACCTGGATCGATCTAACGATCGTTTCGTCGGGCTCATTCTACTCGCGACGAGATTAATTTTAGTTTCTCAATGAAATAAGTTCCACGATTCCATGCTCCCGGATCGGCTTAACACGTCGAGCGCCGCGTCGGTCACGTGTGGGTGACACTGATTTCTGACCAATTCTGAAAATTCATTCTCGTTGAAATATATTCGAAGAAACTGAATTAGACTAGGATATTTCGGAAGCGAAAGAGTTCCAATGTTCCAATCTGCTATGATAAATTTAAACATTGTAGTTTCGGTTCGATTAATTAAACTGCTTTGACTTTGTAAAATTTTTGGAAATTGTCGGCGTTGTTAAAAATCGTTCCTGCTGATTCTATTCGCGGCTAAATTGATTAGGCCGAATCGTAAGTTCGTGCCACGAATGTTTATGCTTTTTGCGATGTGTTCGATTGATTTCGTAAAGATAATTATTGTCCCGAAGATCGAGCACGTTCTGGACGTCCAACTGACGAGATTTCTGAAATCTCGATCGTCTTACAATTATCCACAGCATTTAAAAAAAAATGGGAACAGCAAACGGCACGAACTTAGAACTCGACCTAATAGTTTCGAAATGGAACGATACCGGGTCGACCCGATCCCGCGATGCGGCAAAACGGTCGCGGCGGATCGAACATTGTTTTCCTGCGGACGGTCCGAGTCGTGAATCAAAGGAAATTCGGTTGTCGGGCCGTGTACGCAAGGACGAGACAGGAGGATCCCTCTGGTGGGGGTAGGATGCCGGAGGGTTGGCCGGGTGAACCCAGGACCTTTCGAGCTGGCTAGATCAATAGCAAGGATTTCGCTGCGGCACCGCACGCTTAAACCAATTTCGTTTCTATTTCGGAGCCTCTGTCGATTACCATCGACTAAAAATAAGGGATCGATGCGAAGCCTTTTACAACGTCCATTCATTTGGCGTACGAGCCCGGCCGGAAGGACGACCGGCTCGCGCACAAGAACGTGTCAGGCACTTTCTCCCGATCACGTTTTCGCAGCCGATTCCGCGCGCGTGTCCCGAGCGTATTCACGCGCCCCGACTCGCGTGCCCGATCTCTCGATTATTTTTTTTCTTTTGCTGCGTCCCGCGCACCAGTTCCCACCAGTTCGCTCTCGGACAAGTTTTCGTCGCGGATATATTTAGCGGTTCTGTTTACCGAGGTTATTTTAACGCTCGCTAGAGATTAGCGAAGTAATATTTCGCGCGTGCCGTCTTCGCGTTTAACGAGTTATTCCGAATGTCGGACCGCGGGGGTGGGACACCAATAGCCCCGGGATAGATGGATAAATAGATACGCGGATAGATTGCGGCCTTAGAAAATGTAGAGACGAAGAAGAGAGAGAGAGAGAGAGAGAGAGAGAGAGAAAGGGGAGAGAGAGAGAGAGAGGGAGAGATGAGAGAGCGAGGAAGAGAGACAGGCGTAGGTTCGATACCAGAGGGCCTGGCTCGTGTCAGACTAGACCGCATCGAACTCGTTCGGTTTTATCGTCTCGCGTCATCACGGATAATTTCATAGCACGTCACGTTGTCTTCCCGACAACCCGACATGTGTACCGATCGGCGATCCCGTCGCCCGCGATCAATAAATCCGACCAGCCGCCGTGTCCATTTTTCTTCGGGATCGTCTAGAAAATGTGAGCGCGAGGTCCGCGCGGGTCCGCTCGTAAAAATTCGATACCCCTTGTCTTTTCGGGACACGGCGATGACTCAGAAACTCACCACGACTATAAAATCCTGGAAACGGCGAGGCAGATTGTAGACAATGATCGTCACCGGTTCACTTGTCGTCGATTCGATCGACGATACTTTTTCCGGCTGTCGCTTGGCCGATCGATTGTTCGTCCCGATGCAGCAATTCAATTACATTTTCACTGGAGCACGGGCGACTCTCGGCGCCTGTGTCGTTCTCGTGGATATCCCGCACAGTGTACCACGACGAACTACGTTCTCAACAAACAATAATAATAATAATAACAACAACAATAACAACAACAACGGCCACGGTAAACCGGCGTTGCACGGGTCTCGCGCGGAAATCGTGTGTGAACGTCAGCGTCAACGATGATTACGAGAAACCGAAGCCGACCGCTCGATGTCACATTTTCAGCGGTGCGCGTGTGTCGCGTCTGGAGCCGTCGCGACGCCCTGCGCCGCTTTTATAGACCGTGCCCGTGACGCGCAGACGTAGATCGGAAAAGGGTGCGGGACGCCGTCGACGATCAAACACCCGCGTAATTCTCCCTCCCTCTCTCTCTCTCTCTCTCTCTCTCTCTCTCTCTGTCTCTCTTTCTCTCTCTTTCCTTCTCGCCGGTCTTCTTCGGCGCCTCTACCCTCGTCTCGCACTCCTCGGCCAACATTATCATCTTCTCTTCCCCCCTAACCCCCGTCCGACGATAATTAGACGATCCGTCGCCGCGCGCGCCTGGGAAACGAGGTTCAACGAACGACGATCGACGGAGCCAAACGGCGACAAACGCGAATCCGCGGAATTCTAGCCGCTAATAGGTACGCCGTATCGAGTGTGCTCTTCTCCCGCGATTCCTTGGTAGCCGGCCAACGAAATTGTTTTTCGCTGCTCGGGTCTTCGGATCGCGACGCCGGATAAATTAATGATCCTCCAACCGTGCTGTATTTCGAGCACGTAGCCGTACACCCGCGTGTAACGTGATAATCGCACGTTTCTTTCGCACGACCGTCACACGTCGCACCTGCGACTCTCGTTTCATAACAATTACCCCTTGCACGCGACTACATTTCCGTCGGCCAGCTCGACTCTGACTCCTTTATCGATTCACTCCGCATTTGCATCCGGCGGTTTACGTATTCCGTCACGGTGCAGCTCGCCTTTTCGGAAATCGTTTCGGTCCTGCCTGCGAGTTTTTCTCGCGACTCGCGCCGAATTTCTGTATCCGACGCGTTAACGCCGAGCACTCGTTTTCGAGAGCCCGGACGAGCTATTGTCGCTGCAACAAGTTGCAACATTTGTGCTCGTCTGGGACCATTGCACGGGAATGCAATTGTTAATGAAGTGGGGAAACCTGGTATTGCGTCTTGGAACTCTCGAATTCGGAACTTCGAATCTTATTGGCTCCGGAATTGATTCTTCGAACGCGGACGAGCGATCGTCGCTGCAATAAGTTGCAACGTTCGCGCCCCGTTCGGAGTCGGTTGTTCATGATTATTGCACAGGGTGCAGCCGGAATAGAGCATTATTCGTCACATCCGATCGAATCGATGAGGGGCTGCGCGCCACCGCGATGGCCAAACGGAATTTAATTTGTCCCAGGGAGTATTTTTAAAATGTGTGTCAAGTATACGACGTCCATAGGGATGCATCGCGCATACCAGTGCAACGACGGCCCATATATCGCCGGTATAAATAGAGAAAACGGATCCGCGAAAACGGTCCCGCTGCGATTTCCCTCGATCCGGGATCGCGCGCGCAATTTGCCGACGGTGTTGCGTTTATCGGTAACGAGAGAGCGACTTCGACGAATGGTACTTGTTTTCCGCGAGCTCCAGCCCCTTTTCGCGGCACCGATGCTCGTCTCGCGTCGCAGAAACGAAACCGCTTCGGGGAACCGAGGTATAAAAGAACGCGGGCCGCCCCCGACACTCTCCGTCTCTTAAGAATGATTCTACCGGCAAAAAAATAACAATTCTGAAATATGGAATTTCACGAGAAACTTCACGTTTTCTTCATTTTTTTTTTTTAGAGTAACCAAGGCTTGATGATTCCCCAAATGACGCTAGACATCTGACCATGGCTCACAGTACCTGAACATTGAACATTTTTACACACGCCGACTGGATGGATTTTGATAATCGAGTGTACATAGAAATTTTGACACTATTTTATATTGTATAATTATTAATGATACTAATAAATGATTTATATATAAATGCATACGTCTCCTGACACAATTATTTCCAACTCCATTGTTTCCTTAACGAATCGATATCTACGGAGGGTAATCGTATTCTTTTATTCATAATTTCTTCATACGTACACGAGTCTTACATCTATCGAACACAGTTTACCAAGGTAAAAATAAGCGCGCAGCGCGGTTAATACTTGAACACACCTGGATCGCTTTGTCCGTCGGACAAGCAGCTGACTTTTTTTTTATAAAAAAATTTCTTCAGTTTATAGATACGCGAGTCTTACATCTCTATCGAACCGTTTAATAAGATAAAAATAAGCGTGCAGCGCCGTTAATACTTAAAACATGGTCCGTCAGATAACCGGCTGACGTTCCACGAACGAAGAACCACGTTCCAAAGCGTTTTCTTCTTATTACGGTACAATTCCCGAAGAAATAAATAATTCAACGAATCAAATATATATCAGATTGCATAAGAATGAAACGGATAAATCTTCAGTCGGAGCATGGACTGTATTCCGAGTATTCTCTGGAAGAGTCTTTGGAAAATGTGCAGGAATAGAAATCGGAAGAAGAACTAGAATTTGTGAAGCACGAGTAGGAATAGGAACAAGAACAAGAATCTGAACTGCAGGAACAGGAGGAATCGGAATAGGAACACGAGCTGGAGTCGGAATAGGAACACGAGCTGGAGTCGGAACCGGAACACGAGCTGGAATGGGAAGAACAGCAAGAACAGTCATCGGAATCATCACTGGCCGTGTTCGATCCCATATCGACGTCTGAAAATAATAATGGAATGCATCACAATCTTATGAAACGTATGCAACGGAAATGTACTGCCAGATAACGCTACCTATGTTATATCCCATCGACTTCACGATCTTCGTTACGTGTTTGCCGAATTTCTCCATAGCTCGGCCCGCCTCTCTCTCGTGCCTACGTATTCTCCTTTCCTCGCGTCTCTTCTGCTTGCTCAGCAACAGTCTCTCAAATCTTCCAAGTTTCTCGCCTACAATGCAAGTTGAATAAGACGCAAATCGAAGATATAGCCGCGGATCCAATGAAAATAAACGGCCACGGTTACCTTTGATCGCCGCAGATATATCATCCTGCTGCTCGCTCGCTTTCGGCTCCCTCCACTTTTTTGTTTTCCTCTCGTTCTCCTCGGGACGCCACTTCTCCTTTTTCGCGCAGTTCGAGCTTCCCAGAGATTTCCCTCCTGCTTTCTTCCCCTCGTCGAACACCTTACGATCGTCCGAAATTTGTTTCTTCATGGCTTTCTCCGCACGATTCTTCTCCCCTTTCGAACATTTCACTCGACCCGGGGATCTCATCTTCTCCTTCTTTTCTGCGTCAAATTTCTCACGATCTTGCGAAGTCATTCTCTCCACAGGCTTTTCGACGTTCCTCTCCTCTGCCAAACATTTCGATTTCCCCAGAGACCGTCTCTTTTCTTTTCTTTCATCGCCCAAACACTCGTGATTATCCAATATTTGTTTCTCCGCGTTCGTTTCTTTTTTTCGCGAACATTCGTCTCTCGAGCAACTCGACGACATCCTTTTTCCTTTCGCTTTTTCTTCAAAGTTTTCATAATTACTCGGAATATTATTCTCCGCGATATTATCTGCATTCTCTTTTTTCTGTGTTTGCACTTTTTCAACAAATTTTTCAGTTTCTTTTCGCGAACATTCGTTTTTCGAGCAATTCATTGACTTTCTCTTTTCTTTCGCTTTTCCATCAAAGTTTTCATAATTACTCGAAATATTATTCTCCGCGATATTTTCTGCATTCTCTTTTTCCGAACATTTTGATTTTCCCAAAGACTGTCTCTGCGTTCGCGCTTTTTCAACAAATTCCTCACGATTTTCCGAAATTTGCTTCTCCACATTCGTTTCTTTTCGCGAACATTGCTTTTTCGAGCAATTTATGGATTTCCTCTTCACTTTCTCTTTTCCATCAAAGTTATTATTCGAAATATCTTCCTCCAAGATCTTCTCTGCATCCCCTTTTTCCGAGCATTTCGATTTTCCCAAAGACTGTCTCTGCGTTTGCACTTTATCAACAAATTCCTCACGATTTTCCGAAATTTGCTTCTCCGGATTCGTTTCATGTCGCGAACATTCGTTATTCGAGCAACCTAAGGAAATACCTTTCTCAACGATCATTTCTGCATTTTTCTTATTCGAGCATCTCGATTTCCCTAAAGACTGTCTCTTTTTTTTCATTTTCTCGACAAATTCCTCACGATTGTCCGAACCGTGTTCCTCCGCGATTTTTTTCACAGAATGTCTCGCTTTTCTCGCGCATTCGCCTTTCGAACTGTTCAAAGATTTCCTTCCGCCATTTTTCTCTTCCTGAACACCGTTCGGAATTGTTGCATTGAACGCGTTTGAGCACGGCACGCCATGATTTCCGTTCGACATCGATGTTTTGACAGATTCTCCATCGTAGTCGCAGGAATAATCGATTCGCGTGGATTCTTCGATAGGCTCGAACGAAAAAACATTCGTGTCCTGGGAGGGCACCGATTCCTTCGTTCCTTCCATCTCCATCGTCTCCTGCACCGTCTCCTGCATCGTCTCCTGCATCGTCTCAGCCATCTTCGACCCGATCGAAGCCCTGTCTCCCGACCTTTTCACGGTCGAGTTCACCTTGGCTTCCGAGGAATTCCCTTGACTCTTCTGATCCTTGGCCGATTTCCTCGCTCCCTTCTTGCAGCTGCTCGCACCCTCCCCCTTTTTCACGTCTTTATCACGTTTCTTCTCCTTCTGCTCCTTTGTCTTCTCTTTCATCGACTTCTCTTTCACCGACTTCTGTTTCATTGTCTTCTCTGCTTTACCTCTCGGCTTCCCACCAGTGGCTTTCGAATTACTTTGCGCCTTTTCCGCGGAACTCTCTTCCTTCTTCTCGCGAGGACTTCTTGCGGTCCGTTTCTTCGTGTACTCTATCGTTGAAAATGGAAATCTCGATTAGTGGAGTCGCCCGTTTATTGGGCAGACTTCTTTGGAACACGTCGAAGTCATTGACGAAAAAATTTTCGTTGACCACGTCTCACGTATACAATATACAAATTGTTTTTATCAATTTTAAGCGACGGAAGTCAGATAGAAAGTTCGCAGTTTCTAACATCGTTTCAATAAAATGAATGCAACGAAAGTGTGTACTCGCTGTTTAAAACGATGCAACTTTTATAAAACTGGACTAGACAATTTGAATTTTTTTTACAGATGTTACAAAGACTAATTCGCCGATTGCAATGACATTTTCATTATGTATATAAAAGTTACCGAGATCTAAAAGATTCGTTTTTTACATTTTCGTCGTGGGCTCAGATAAACAAAAAAGAATTGAAAATCGCGAGTCATTGCAAGTAACAGCAAAATCAAAAGAAAGTATTTCAGTCATTGTGTAGAGTCAGTCATTTAGTCGAGCTTCAAAAAATGTATGCACTCATTGCTCCTTACTGTATACACATCGTAATTCTTCGAATCTTTTCACTGCGTCGCATTACACCCACTCATTTCCGTCATAAACGCATAAAATCTGCGATACACCGGTGAGTCACGCGAGCGAAGAATTACCTGGAGGCTTCCGTTGCGGGTCGAGCGTGATCAACTCGTTAAACTCGTTCAGAATACCTTGCATGAAATTGCACTGGACGAAGTTGTCGATCTCCTCCCACGGGCTCGGGTTCTGAGCGATGCCCATGATCTGATCCATGTCCAGCAGACCGTCCTCCACGTCGCACGAGAGCGCGGACCTCAGCAGAATCTTCTTCTGGCTCATTTGCGCGTCTGCGAACACGTTTTTTTTGTTCGGTTTTCATATCGGCGTTGTATCATGAATTCACGGGACACAGAGCTTGAAACTGCCGCATCAATTATTAATTGCCGCTCGGAACAGCTTTCTGGTTCGCCGTGGAAAGGGTCGCGGCTCGAGGGCAAACATCTTTGTTCCCGGTGCACACGTGCGCCTGAGCTGTTAAGTGCACGTCAAACGTACGGAAGGGGCTCGCCAAATCCGCGAAACGAGTATTTCCTTAAGGATCCCGGACAGTTTAACGTTGCTCCCGGGCTGATTTATCGGGTAAACGTTTACGCGGTCCCGTTTGCGCGCGGATCCGTTCTCCGCCGGTTGTCGACGAGCAAAACAGCTTGCCGCGCATATTGTGTTTGATCCGATAAATAAATAGCGGGCTACGTCGAGTTAATTGGTCTCCGGTGAACAGGTTGATCCGCGGGGGAAGCCGCGAGAAACGGGAACAGACGCAGCTAGAGTATCGAAAATATTGGTCGGCGCGGTTTATTTTTCCGCTCGGCCTCTGATCGTTGTTTACCGAGCGGTAGAATAGGAGATCGAGCGGAGACGGGCCGCCCGACGGCGTTTAGACGAATCCAGATATTGGCCTGGTGCCGTTAAATTCGCAACTTACGTGTTCCCTGGGTCCGGGCACGCTGTTAGGCAAGGTGGCCCGTTCCGCGGTGGGGTCTCTTTTCGGCGAGGAACGAAAAGAAACAACAAATGCTCCGGTCTTGCTTGCTTGCTTACTTTGAAACTCCCGTTCTACGTCAAACCATGTATTTTCGGGTTTCTCTGTTTCGAGATCGAAGCGAACGCGCTCGGGAGCGACGGCTGTGTCGGAGCACGCGAATCGTCCGCTAACAACGACTAATTTAAGACCGCGGACACGGAACATCGGCGCGGCATCTCGCGCTCGTTACAGGCGAGATCGTTATCGATGGTTTCGCGAAAGGTTGCCGCGTCCGAAGCTGTTTACCGGCTGCCTAACGATCGTCAACCTCGCGACGATTCGAATCGAACCGCACGCAATTATCCCCCGCAGCAACGAGTAACGAGCGCAGCAAGGTCGAGCTTCGACGAGTGGGATTTTTGCATTTCTTTTTTTCGGGACACGCGAGCGCCCAGGAATGCGCTGCAGCTGGCGAATCTGCACCAGAGCTTCGGCATTATTCGGATTGTTTCAAATACGCGTTTGTTCGGGCCAAATCGCGGTTCACGGGTCGACGTACGCCCGACTTTCAAACGCGAACGACGCGCGTCGTTTTTTTTTCGAACGCCGCGTTCGAAAATCGTCCCTTTGTCTAGCCAACCGTTCGGCATCGTCGTCTGTCCATGCTTCCTTCCGAGCATCGGACAGGTGCGCATATATACAGTCGTCATCGACTGTGAATATACATTGCAATTGTCCGTAATTATTTCGTCTTTTTCTAATTGCCGGCGATCTTCTTCGTTCGGTACGAAATACGTATTTATATAAGATAATTATTTTAATGATTCTTTATTCGCGTAGAATTCTTTATTTCAACGATTATCTGTTCGAATAATTTCTTGTACGAAGAGTTTCTTATTCGAATAATTCGAAAAAGCAATACGAAAGATGTAAATTGATAAACTATGGAAAAACACTTTATATTCTATCATTTGTGTTCAAATCAATTATTCTCCGAATGAATTCTTGTAGGAATAAATTTATATTCGAATTGAATCTTATTCGAACGAATTCTTATTCGAACATAATTTTATTCGGATAAATACTTATCTAGATCAATTTTTATTCGATCGAATATTCATTCGACAGTGTCAAACAAAATTTGATTGGTTATAGTCTTTATCTTCTATATCCGTCACTTGAATAAAATTTTTTTCCAATTCTGATCCAATTCGATCCGCGTACAAGCGGGTATATTATTATTATTTATCAGTGAACGGCCTTGGGGTAAGTAAGAAGGCGTGAAGAATTTTATAGCCTGAAATTATAGCGTAAAGATCGCATGGTTTTGTAGCCGGACTTCGTAATTTTATTAGGCCGCTAAGTGGTGCCGTGTCTGACCGTGAACCACCGTTTCCACTTGCAGAAAGAAGAGTAACGTTACACCGGCACGATTGGAAGCGGGTTATTTGGAAAACGAGGCTTAGGATGACTTTTGTTCTTCGCTCTTTGACGTAGTTTCACGTGCGCGCCCAGTGTACGCGGCGTTCGATATTTTTTTCTGAACAACTTTATTAAAAGAAAAATAGTTGTACGTTATCGAGTTTATTGTCGTAGCATCTCGGGCTCAGAATTTGTTTCCCGAAGTTCGATTTACACAGATCTTTTTGCTTAATCATTGCGTTTTTACCGTTACATACAGCTTAGATTTACGTCGATCCGAGGAACACGATTCTTTTTCTAAGGAATTTTGCGACTGAACTTTACCGAGAAAACTAGATGAAGCAACGTCGAAGTAAACGAAGAAATTAAAAAATCGAGGACCAGCGATTCTCGGGAGATCGGGGAATCAGTTGAAAAAATACGCTTCTTAAAGAGCATTTAATATTCGCAAAACTGACAATAAGATATTGATAACAAGTACATATATGTATAACGAGAAGAAATCGAAGGTTTTGAAAAAGTATCGTTACCTCTGCCACGCTTGAAATCAGCGTTGACTTAGGTTCCGATTTTGCGGCACTCTAACGTCACGTTCCGGCAAACTATAATTTCCCGGGAAGTCACTCGGGCCGATTAAATGAATAAACGATCCCGGGATGCCGGAAACGACGTCGGTCGCATTTTCCGCTCGTTTAGTTGCGCGAGGTGGCTGCGACGGCAGTTCGCCGCGTGACGAAAGAAAAGTCAAGGTGCATAGCTACGGTGACGTCAGTTGGGGCTCCGCGTGTAACCTGTCAGACATTACGACGTGTCCTCTCTGTCTCCCGCTTATAATAGTCGGGTCATCGAGTGGAAGAGGGTTAGATGACGTCACCTTTCCGATGACCGCACGCTTGGCCGATGTCATCGTGCGTTTTCGACGGATATAGCTGCGCGGGAAAGAACGTTCGCCGGTGTACCGTAAATGGCGAAAGCCGGTTCCGATCTCGGAAAGGAGCCGCGTGGGTGGGCCAGGATGGTTTCGGTATCGTCGCGGCACGCGATAAGTCGTCGGATGGATTGGTTTTCCCCGACAGATGTTCCAGGAACGATCGGGAAACTCGGATCTCGGATCTACGTAAACAGACGTTCCGCCGCGGGACGTCCAGGATCCTAGAACGTTCGTTTCCTCTCTCGTTACGATAATATTTACGGTTCCGCGGAGATATTTGCATTTGTTCGCGGTCGCGGCGCGACGCGGCGGCGCGATTCCGCGTGCAATCGCCGCGGGGATTGATCGATCTCTCCTCGTGGATCGTCCTCGCTACGCGCGTCACCGAGCTATCGTCGCGGATCCGTCGTCGCCAACGTAAAAGGAGAACGATTCGACGGTAACGTTTGCCCCGGGGCCGACGAATGCCTTCTCGAACCCGTCGGAGCCCAACCGAGCGACGACGCACAGGTGACTGCATCCCGCCAGGCGCGTATAAAAGCGTCGCCGGTCCTCCGGATCGGGAATCAGTCGGTCGAGCCCGCCGGAGCGAACATGATCGAGGTAAGGAGTATCCGCGACGAGGAGACTGCTGTTTTTAAGGATTCATTCGGTAACGAGGAGAACGTTTGGAAGTGCTAACCCTTTGCACTCGAGGCTATTTTAACTTCAAAATGAAGACATTTGTTTCAACCTACAGTATTTCCATTTGTTATGATTGTTTTTATTTGATACATGTGGAATTGAAGCTGTTTGATGGTAGAACGCTTCTATTATTTATCGATTTATCGAACATAGGCAAATTTAATAATGTGAAAATTCTTTTGAAAATACTGTAGCAACTTTTAGCGTCGCCTCAGAGTCGTCACTCGAGTGCAAAGGGTTAATAGTTTGTGAACCGGTGGGAAGGATCGAAATCCAAAATCGCTTTGATTTATCGTAATGACGATTTTGGATTATTTCTTGTTCTTATAATTATTATTTGATCATTTATTTTGTTACGGGTAGTTGCCCGTTGGTTATAAAATCAGGGAATACAGATATTCAGAATGGATAGGTACAAGGTTAAATTAAAAATAGCACAATAACAGCAATTACTTGCATCATGCTATTAACGCGTGGGAAAGTCATGCGCGGAACACAAGTCGTTCTTTTAAAGCGTAAATTTCGCGCGAACATTTCTGATAGCTGAGCCGAGCGAGAAGAAGATATAATATGCTGTGTCGACACGAAGCTAACAATATCGCACACGTAAGAATGTACCGCGTGATTAAGAAGTTCTTTATGCTATCAGAAAAAGGACATGCGAGATCCCGATGGTTTCTAAACTCCAAGCTTCAATTATAATCGCGACGAAGTGCAGCAGCTGTTCTAACTCTTCTAATATTTCATATAAAAATACGAACCATTGAAGGAATTTTTTGGACATTTATTCCAAGCCCCAGAAGTCTCTATCAACCCCTTCAACACCGAGCAAGGCACCTGTTATGGAGATTTCGTACAAAATTTACTGGGCACGAATGTCACTCGTTTCTCCTAAATCGAAACAAAATTTGATTTTTCTGTTATCGAAACCCGGCAATGAAAGTATAGATCGAGACATATAAGAAACAAAAATTATCTTGTTCTAATAGAGAAATTATTCAAGACGAAGAAGTGCTAATTAAATGCAATTTATCTGTTTCATTCCACTGTTTCTACAGTTTAATACCGGAATGGTGCGACGTCTAATAAATAATTACAGATCGTCGTGCTGCTACTGGGGGCCTACGGGGTTCTGGCAGTTCCAGTGACGCCTCGGGTCGATGGGAGCCCTTCGATGCCCATAGGAATGGTCTTGCCTCTGCTTCCAGGCTCGGAGAATCTAGACGAGAAAGCTGTCCCGCTCGCGAAGCTGGTGGTTCTCGATCCGCTTGGCCCGCCTGGACGACCGAACCTCATTGAGCAGACTCGGGTGCCTTCGAAACTTCCTGGAACGGAGAATCTGGCCGAGAAACGCATTCCCTTCGTGGTCCTTGAAAAATTGTCCCGTCCCTTCGCGGACGAAGCCTCGAACGCGAGCGATTCTCGCGCGTAACGCTTCGAGACGCGTGGGCGTAAGACAAATGTTGGCGGAGCGGGTGTTGAGAGAGAAAATACACACGAATCGAACCATTGTTTCTTCAGTTATTCGACAGACAATGTCAGCTATAATACCATTCCTGAACGTTTCCCAATCCGCTCCAGCTGCGACGTTTTAGAGGCGAAATGTGATGAAAGTCGGAGTAAGCAGAGAGAGAGAGAGAGAGAGAGAGAGAGAGAGAGAGAGAGAGAGACAGAGAGAAAAGCGCGACGAATGTTCGAGCGGCGATTTTTTTTTAATGATTGCATGGGAATTTGTTATCTTGGTTGGATAACGGAGAGACTTCTTCCTGAAATATCGATACTGTCGGAAATGTGCGCCAGCGGACTCTGTTCGGTCCGAATGGGAGAGGATTGTAACTTGTAACACTTGGAGCCTGCGACCAGAGACGAGCAGATTCTGTAACGCGGACAATCCGTAGAAAAATTCGCTCGGTATTGTGTCGATCGAGGTATCGGCGTGCGCCTTGTATGTTTCCGTGTTCTGCGAAAATGGAGCGCCTTGGATCTCGTTGTCATTTCCGTGTCGCTATCGTCGTTGCCGATATTTCAGAAATTCCAGTTTCGTAGCGGGAATCGAGTATTCCGTATACCTCGTTTGTACTACGACACGATAAAATGGTACCAATGTTATACAATAACGGTAACAGAAGAAAAATTAACTGCGGAAATACACCCGCAATCGACTTGATGAGTTATGCCATCGAGAGAAAAAGCATGATGGCAGAATTGTTATTTTAATATCAATTCTCTGTGCGGTTTAATGTAATTCATTGTGCTACAAACACGTTCATAATTTGTTTCTTGTTCTTGCTTTCTTTCAGAGAAATCATTGCGCGTCCAAAAAATGTTACAACTTGATGGTGCATGTATAGATAAATAAGGTTTTTAGGCATTTAAAAATTTCGTTTATGAGCACGATTTTTTTATTATTACGTGCATAATACAGAGAAGAAGTAGTGTATAAGGAAACGCTGTCTTTTAATGTTTTTTACTGATTTTGAGCGACGTCGGTATTTGAGAAACGCCATAAGGTGTTTGGCACACTCTGATCTGTCTTCATTAACGGACTCTTTGATTCTCCGGCAATGTTGGAGAACTTTCACCTGTATGATCCAATGTTTCACCTCAGTTCCAGAGAAAACATAAAACAAAACAAACAAAACAAAACAGAGAACGTAAAACAACTTTTGGGTACTAACAGTGGGCTCAATCGTGTTTTCTCTATTGTAAAAATAGTTTGCGTTTATCCATCGATTTTTTCAATCATGCATTACACCCTTCCGAACAGAATTTAAGGCGTATTATTAAATATAACAACGTTATTAGGATCCGTAGAGATTTTTCATATCTATTTAAGGAATTCTATATACTAAATTCTATATTTACTTTATTTTTCCCTTTTTTCTTTCCACTCTGAATCATTCTAAATCTCTATACTCCTTCCTTTTTCTGATTTGGTAACTAACGAGTACGTTCCGCGCGTTTCCAATAAATAAATAAATTACTCCGACGCGAGTTATCGCCAGTTCCTGTCCCTTATCCGGGCGGTTCGAGTTATGGATCGCGGCGAGCGACTGTATCCGTTCACCGCGAGATGCCTCACCGAATCGCAATTCTGTGATTTCCCCTGAAACAGAACCGGAACCCAAAGAAGGGCAATCACCCCTCACACGTATCGTTTAATTCCCAATTCAGCGAACTATTTGTTCTTATCCTCCGAAAATGTCTCTCATTTCTCGCGTTCTCGTTCGCGTTCTCCTTCGCGGAAGACGAAAGAGAACCACGCGAAAAACCGAGGAAATCCGGAGGAATCGAACGGGTCAATGTTCCTCTGTCTATCGATGTTCGCGCGAATTTTTCGGTTAATGTTGAACGGGAAATCGGCTCCGGAAATCGGCCCCAGAGTCGGCCGCGGTAAATTTGATTGCGAGACACGGTCGATTTGAAGCGTAACTTCGAAATTCGAACGAATATGGAGCAGAGGGAGAGAGGGACAGGTCCGACGATAGATTGGTTTGTTCGCGCGTCGTTACCGTGCGCACGATGAAACGAACCGATTGTACACGCGATCGATTATCAACGCTCCACGATGGCCGCTTTCCTAACAATCCACCGAATTATCCGACCATACGGGTAATCGCGTTACTTCATCAATTATCCGCCGACGCTGCTCGCAATTAAGGCCGCGAAATACCGACCCGATAATCTTTCGCATCGGCATACGTAATCGGGCGCGGGGGCGATTCGTCGCGCGTAACGACGGACGAACCATGCCCCCGCGGAGCCCCGCAAACCCCGTGTCGCCGCAGCCGGCTATTTCCTCGGGAAAACAGGGGCCCGAGGGGGGCCGCCGCGCTATTTTGCCGGCGATATTCGACGCGTGTCGGTTGCGTTTGAATATATCAATTTCGAAGTGGCCGATAGTTTGCCGAATATGCAAATTCCTGTAACGATCAAAGGGGAAATATATGCATATACACCGATTTATATACGTGCCCTTCGATTTTCGGCCGGGCTATTGTCGCCCGCTTTTTTTTTTGCCACGGCGATTCGAGCTCCGAGGAACCGAACCGTTCCGCCGAACAATCGGCTCCGGGACTTACACGGTGTACGAAACTGTTACGTTCGGTTGCCGGACGTTTCTACCGATTAGCCGTGGGCGCCTCCTTTTCAGAGCGCGCACCTATGTGTGTCGCGAGAATCAAGCGATAATGTCTATACTCGTCGCGAGTAAAATGTAGCGACCATTGGCTATTTAAATTGTAATTTTAGCGACGACAAAAACATATTCTCAAATACTCGTCAAACACAGCTAACTGGTTAACTCTTCGAGGCACGCGATTTTAAAGGAAATAAGAGCCCGAGTTGCACAGAATGTAGCGTTATGAAACAACAATTCATTGGACCGTGCAATTCGCCAAGCTTAACCCCTTGCCGTACCATTTTCTTCGCAGTTACGAGAAGTAGAAGTTTTCCGATTGTAATAATTTCTTAGGGAAAGAAGAAGAAGGAAATTGTATTTGTGTGTGTCGTGTGTCTACGTTTGCTCGAATATTTAAATATTGTGGAGAAGGGAACAGAATTTTATTCCAACTTAAAAGAACGGGATGACATTTATACTCAACAGGTTCTTAATAGAAATCTCTGTTATCGGTTAGATTCGTTAAAATACGGCGATGGATTAATCGCGATAGTGTCGAGAACTTATCAATGCGTTTCGACTAGCGTGAATTTTTGTTTTCGGTGATTTATGCGGTGATATCCAACCGAACGTGGAACATCGAATGAAATAGCAAACAATAACTACGAGTAGCTTCAACTTTTTCTGCTCCGGATTAAAATATATCCTATCGTACGTAAAGAGATTTTAACTCGCTTATAACCCCAAACAGTTAAAACAGACCGGAACGGAATGGGGAGTTCAGATTTAAAGGATCTTTAGATGAACCTTTCGACTTCGCTCTCTCGCTCAACTGAAACAACAGAGTTTTAATTACAATTTCGTAACCCGTTTGCATCATGAGGATGAATGGAACATAATTTTATTAATTCGAAATGGTCAGCGTGTAAACGGCTGCCTCGCAGCCGTGACAGCGTTAATTGTGTTTCTTTTCTTTATTTCGCGATCGAATAAACGACCCAACGTTTTCGAGTTTCTCTAGTTAGACTTGTTTCAAACGCTATACATTAATGATTCGATTTGATTCGATTTGTTGTAAGCTCATTTTTACATCGCAGTGTTCGAAATGTCGGAAAGATAATCGATGATTAAAAACATTAATAAGATTGAGGTCGATCTAAAATTAAAACAGAATCGAATTTTATGACAACGACTAGACCGCGGATTTGATGCGGATTTATGACACAAATAGGTCACTAAAATTTCGAACGATGAGAATATTGACAGAACTTAAGGATGTGTACGTACTATCTTCAGCTCATTTATCAATTATTACAGAAAGAAAGAAATTCCTATGCGACACGTTTTTGTTGCAATCGTCGATGATAATCTTTATTTTTAAGATCTTTTTAAGTATCCGCGACCTATCAAAAACTTGTGCTAAATCTACGAGACTATGCAAAAGTAAACTGTGCGGTAAACGACGCAAGTTAGTTAACAATGCGATTATCGCAGCTGCGATTTCTTAACGAATTATTTTCGCCGTTGCCGCGCGAACGAAACGCTCGGCAAATTGGAGCACGTCGAAGGATTAAATCCTAGTTCGATCTCTCGGTTGACTAACGTTTAGCATGTCGGGGGGCATTGTGCGAAAAAATGGAGGCCAGGCACAATAAACCGAATCGAGAGGCGTCTCGATTCGCGGGTAGCGGACCGGAAGAATCGAGGAGAGGAATTTTCGTCGAGGACTACTCTCGGAGCTATTCGCGACATTGGCAATGCTTCTTCGCGATTCGATATAATATAAACACCGAAGTACGATTGTCGGCACGCATCGCTGGCGACGCGAGGAAGCTGGCCAGGGAAGAGCGACGAACGCGAGACGGAGAACAACAAGAGGTAAGGGAAAAGAATATGCGAGCGGCGGGACAGAAGCGAGCAGGAAAGCTTCGCACGCTATGTTTGGAATCCGTGCCACGAGCGTGGGAGGCAGAGGTTGAACGACGACGGCACCGGGGCGGCGGACAGGAAATCACGTGGCTGGAAGGAAAAGTTTTCGATAAAACGGATGACTCGCTCGTTGGGATCCTCCTCGAGGTCGCTACAGTTGGACAGGAGTTGCTCTCAAACCGCGGTGAACGTTAATTCGCTTAACGGGCTCGTTTCTCGTTTTACTCGCACCTGCTACCTTCTACCTGGCTCGCTCGCCTCTTTCCGGCCGTGCTCGCGCGTCCATCAAACTGCTCCGAGGCTCCCAGCAGCCTCCGAACTCGTGCCGCCTTGTTTTATAGGTCGGAGGGGAGTGCACGGCGGTGCAGCATAAACGGCGACGATCACGGCGACACGTGCTTCGACACCCACCAAAAATATCGCCGGCAGAGCCAATTAGTTGCGAGACCCGGCGAACCGAAA